TTATATTTATTTGCAAATATATAAATAAGTATGTTAAAATATAATTATTAAAATATCAATTAAAATTAAAAATACCTCAAATACCTAATAAGATATACTATCAAATCATTGATTATAACTTTCTTGCACTTTAAACTTATAAATTTATTTATATTTTCAATTATTTATTTATAAATACTTTGTAAGTATAATTTAAACTTTGTTTATGTTTAAGGGATAATGCACGAGTACCCCTCAACCTATGCCCAAAATTTCAGAGACACACTTATACTATATTAAGTTCCTATTACCTCCTGAACTTATTTTATTAATAATTTTCTACCCCTTTTAAAAAAAGTCAACAAAGATTGAAGAATTTGTTACACAAGTTCGTGATGAAGCATAATCTTTGGTGAATTCAATACAAGTGTTCACGAAAAAGGTTTCTAATTTACACACGTACTCTCCATGGTCTTGACGAGAAGGGAATAAATCATCCTTTTTTCTATTGCTGGTGTGCCCTGCACCTAAAAGAAACCATTTGTGTTCATTCAATTAAAAATGTGTGCTTCAAGATTTGTTTTACTTTCCAAAAAGATATTATTAAACCTTCTTCTCCAACTCCATTTTCACATAGAATTCACAAGCTCTCACTTATGCATCAAATGGGGACTCACTCTTACAGGGCAGCTTTGCTGTTCTACCCAAAACAGAACCAACCAAGATATCTCAAATAATTGTAAAAGGGCAAATTACAGAAAGGCTAATACATATATTGGACCCTATACTTGGCTTTAAATTTTAACTTTGACCTCCAACTTTCATAATGCACAATTAGGCACTTTAACTATTCAGCTTTTAAATAAATAAACACGAGTCCTACATGGTAATACCACGTAGGACAAAAAATGACATGTGTGTCTATTTGTTTAACTTTATACAAGTTTAAGTGCATATTTGTGCACATCCAAAGTTGAAGGGCATAAATGTGATTTGAAGCCAAGTTAAAGGGCACATTTATGTATTATGCCTTACAGAAATAACATATTTTTAAGGTAAAATTACAATCTATTCCTTAAAAGTTTATAATTATAGAATCCCTCAAACGGACACATTAGTGGAGATCCAGATACATTAATGGCAAAAAAAATCAAACCGCTGATACATTAAAAAGAGGATCGGATATATGCAGTGATACAAAAAAAAGAGGGTCGGATACATTAATGGGGGGTCCGATATATTAATGGCCAAAAAATCAAAGCATTGATACATAAAAAAAAAAGGATCGGATACATGCGTCGATACATTAAATAGAGGGTTGGATACATTAATGGACGATCGGATACATTAATGGAGGGTCCGGATATATTAATGACCAAAAAATCAAAGTGCTGATACATTAAAAAGAGGGTCGGATACATGTGCCGATACATTAAAAAGAGGATCGAATACATTAATGACATTTTTTATTTAAGAGAAAAATGAGGGATTTCGTAGATTTATATAACTTATAAGGGAATAATAGTAATAAGTAAACTAAGAGGTGAGATTTAGTCCTAACGTCATACAATCCGTTGAATCAGAAGGGTTTCTATATGTTCTTTCTGATATTATTCACTTCCTTTGTATACTTCATAATCTTTATAACAAATTTTCTATATTTCATCCAAAAAGAAACAAATATTATATAGTTTAATGTTGTTCTATACTGAAACAAATGAACGGAATAAAAAACTGTTATTACTTTTAGGTTTTAACGGAATTTATAGTGTGATTATAATGATATGATAAACTAAAAAAAATAACTAATAAAATTAAAGATATATTTGATAACAATTTCGTAAGAGATTATCTATTTATTTATATATTATAAATAAAATTTAAAGTATAATTCTTAAAAAGATTCATTAACGACAATTAAAATTCGTTTATCAACGTAAATAATAAAGAATAAGATATAAGCATAACTATATAAATATATATCTCATCTCATCTATACTCTTCAATTTCTATGCCTTCACCTGTTTAAATTTATACAAATTTATATGCCTACTTATGCACATTCATAAGTTACAGGGCATAAATATCATTAATAAATTGTTTAACTTTATACAAATCAAACACTCCTTATCAAGAATAGAACATAAAATCTCTTACAAGTTTTGCAACCCCTTAACAACTATATTAAAGCTTCAAGTAACTTGTATCAACACTTACGTATATAATATATATTTATTAAATTATATTTTGATCTATATATACAATGTAATTTTCTAATAAAAAGGTATTGCTTGATAACCCTTGCTCTAGGGTAGACTCGCCTCTGATTATAGTCAAGTTAAAAGAAACACGAAATAAGTAAAATTTAAACAAGTATGATCTTAAGACTTTTATACATATGTAATATTAAAATAACAATCAGAAAAATGTATATTAAAATTTGCAATAAACTTATAAAAGAAGTATTCCATATATAATGTTATTAACTTAATTTTAAAAAATCTATAAATACTGGTTCAATAATAACAAATTAAGCATATAAAATTAAAAACAAATGTTACATAGATGAAGTATTAAAAATGACAGGAGTAACATAAATTTTACATAGGATAAAAAGGGAAAATGATTATTTCTCAAAGTTAAAGTAGAGAGGTAGATTTTTAAATCAAAGTTTGCGGGTGTAAATTGTAAAAATGAAGATCACTAATAAAAATATAACAAAATAATTTATTTTTTTATTTATAAGTTTTCCAAAACAAAATAGATAGTACAAATATTCGTTATGCATATATTAGTAATATGAATGTTAGTTATACAAATATTAATTGTGTAATATAGGTTATGTGGATATTGATTATATAAATATTAGTTATACAGGGTTTAAACATGCCAAATTTATTCATGCATAAACTATTCTTTGGATGTTGGCTATTATATTAAAAAATAGTATAATTATATATTTTTTAAATTAAAACATTTCTTTACAATTATACCACTTTCTTCTTTTAACTTTGTATTTAAATTAAAAGATCTCTTTAATTATGTAGAAGAAGAAAGTAGTCTAAGTGGGAGTGGTAAAGAGTAATATTGTCATTTCAATTTTTTGTCCATGTATTAGTTATTGTTCCGCCTTCTATTCCGCATAAATAATACATAAATTTTCTTATAATTTATACATGTACTACTAATTATGCTAATTTAAAAAATGTTAACCTCAAATTAAATTTATATATGAATAATTTTTCATTCACCCACCAAATATCGTATTAATTATATGCCTTAATAGTTTTTTTTCTTCAGTACTTACCAAATATTACGGGATTTAAACCAAACTAAGCCATTATTTAAACTAATTCACCAAAATAATATGTTTTTAATTTTTTTACAAAACTAGTATAAACGTATTTCTGAGTAACGTTTTAGGATATTTTTATTTTTAAAATTCAACGGACAAAAACTGACGGAGCTGACGACGCTAAATGAATAAACGTACTCCTGAGTAACGTTTTACACCTAAAACGTTAGTCAGAAGTATGTTTATTGAGAATCCAATCACGGTCCACTAAATTCAATCTTGCAAATGTAGAGTCAAATCCTGCAGATTTAAAATGTTACAATGAATAACATTTTACACCTAAAACGTTATTCAGAATAACGTTACTCGTTAATCATTTGCAATGATGTCGTTAGTGTATAAATTTTCCCTTCAGGTGAGTTTTCTAGTGTGAATAATAAGCATCGTGCTCCTATTTTTTGTCAAGTACACAACTAATACAAGATTAGAGAAAGATTGATACCTCCCAATGGTTATAATAAGATAAAATTTACAAACTATATGAATGATCAAATAACCAAATAGATAATTACAAAAATTGCAAAATTTATATCTTTTTGCTGATTAGAGGTGGTGGAAGCATAACCCCCCATCTTAGCAAAATTGCTTTCCATAACCACTGGAAAACACAAACCAAGTACAAAATAATTGAAATATGCATGATGTGTTGCTACTGTTCTTATTGATAATTAAAAAGTTTTCTGAGTAATAAAACATGTTGCTACTGGACAACAGTTGTTATAATTGAGACATTAACACAAAATGCAAAGGGACTACAACTTGTAGCTACTCATCTCATCTCATCCACATCCATCCATAAAATCTTATACCACAAACCGCAACATAAAACTCATCTCATACCATAAATATATATAGTTACATGAAATCTTATAGCACCTGCGTAGATTAAATCATTTACTGAACATATGTTTGAATATTGCTAAGACGGGGGGGTTATACTTCCATCTCTAATCAGCTAAACACATAAAGATGGGGGGTTTTAGGTGTAAAACGTTAAGTAACGTTTTAAATTTTCAGGATTTAAGTCCGCATTTGCAAGATTGGATACAGTGACCCGTAACTGGATTCTCAATAAACGTACTCCTGAGTAACGTTTTAAGTGTAAAACATTATTCAGGAGTACATTTATTCATTTAACGTCGTCAACTCCGTCAGTATCTATCCGTTGAATTTTTAAAATAAAAACACCCTAAAACGTTACTCAAAAATACGTTTATACTGGTTTTGTAAAAAAAATTAAAAACATATTATTTTGGTGAATTGGTTTAAATAATGACTTAGTTTGGTCAAAAATTTATATATGAATAATTTTTCATTCACCCACCAAATATCGTATTAATTATAGTTTTTTTTCTTCAGTACCTACCAAATATTAGTCTAATATACGGATACGACTTGTTTTATATTAATATCATACAACTCCTTAAGTAAATATAAGAAAATAACTAGGTAAAAATAAATATTTCTTGGGAGTAAAAACTAAACAAAGATTTATGGTAAAAGTTACTATTTACGAAAACAAATCATCCCTAGTTTTGGGAGTAAAAAGTAAACAAAGATTTATGGTAAAAGTTACTATTTACAAAAACAAATCATCCCTAATTTTGAGGTAGACAATAAAAAAAGCCAAATAAAAAAGAAACTTTCTGAATATGAAAAATGTTACCTCATTTGGAGAAATTTTTTAGATCCGTGATTCTGGCTTGGTTTACGCATTAGTTTGTTCAATTTTTGATGGCCTTTCTTCTCAAACATTCATTTCTTCATCCTCTTCTTGTTACATTAATATATTTGTGACATTCGTAAAAGATATTGAGTAGGCTATGACACTTAAATTTTACTCAAAATAATGATACCTTAAAAACATGTCAATATGTGTCCTGCTTTTTCTACACTCTTTTTACATTCCTTTTGCAACTACAATTCGTTAGATTTTGAAATTCTTTTCATTCTAATTAACCCATACTCGAGCATTTTGTAAGAAATTGTTGGTTATGGGTCTTCTGGATTATTTGTTTGGGAATGGAGGTAGAAGGTTTATCAAGAGAAAAGATAGCGATGCTGGTGAAGCAGGTGAAACATATTTTATTGATTTTCAGACTATTAGTTTTCTCTTATGGTTAATTTTCAGGGGTTTTAGGTTTTCAAAAAATTGATTCTTATTCTGCACACATTCTCAACTGGGATTTGATAAATCTGTTTGTTCTGAGGGTGAGTTTATTAATGCAATCTCATTCTTTGCTGCAAAATTTATTGTATTAATCAGCAGTTTATAAATTACCATTAAGAATTCTTCGTGGGTCCAGGGTTTTAACTTCTTACTTGAGGTTATTAGTTCTGTTATGTAGAATTCTTTTTATACCCTTTAATAATTTTGGAGTTTATTCTTGTAAACATGCATATTATATGTCCAAACATTTTCTAAATATTAAGATAACTAATAGTAGCATATTTAAGCCTATGATAACTTGTTTTCAAACCAAATACTTAAGTTATTCTCAATGAAAAAGATGTACGCATAGTCTAAAATAGTGAGTTCAGGTGAACCCGTAGTATATATGCTGCATCCGCCTCGGTTCCTCTGCATTTATAGACACCTTGTAGGATTTCTGCTTTTTGACTGCTCTTCAGCATGTGGGGAAATAGGCATTACCTAGAACTCTATGTTGCTCGGACTCTTCAGAAATGTCAAGCGTGCCAAATTCTCCAAAAGTAATGTATCTTTAGAGAATCCGACACATGTGCGGCATGCCTTGAACAATAATATCTCTCCACTTAGAAGTACTTCTATACATAATTTAGCTGTTATTTAGATCAACTTGTACTTTTGCCTCGATTCGCAGCTAATACTTTTGCCCTATTATAAACCAGGTAGGGCACTGGAAGAGCTCAGAGGTTCTCTCTACAATGAGCTTCGAACATCAGAAGGAGCCAAGCGTCAACAACAGCGATTCTGTGGTCCAGTTATGGCAATGACCTTCAATTTCATGGTTGCTGTTGGAATAATATTGGGAAACAAACTCGTATGGCTTTCGTTCCTACATTTTCCATCTTTTGATGGTTGCAATATATGTAACACCAAAAAAAATGAGTCTTTAACTGTTTTGACATGACCTGGTGAATGGTGAAAAAAATTATCGGCTTCTAAACTTGCAAATGTGGTTTGCAGGTCATGGGAAGAGTTGGATTTAAATTTCCCATTTTCCTAACGCTCATTCATTACTGCTGTTCTTGGATATTACTCGCCATCTTCAAGGCTTTGTCATTGCTTCCAGCTGCTCCTCCTGCTAGAACAACACCATTTTCTTCACTCTTTTCGTTGGGTGTTGTGATGGCTTTTGCCTCTGGCCTTGCCAATGCTAGTCTGAGTCATAACAGGTTACCGTATTTGTAAACCTTTTCTCCAAGTCCAAACCTTGTGGCAACTTCTCTTTTCCTAACTAGCTGACTCGTGCAGTGTGGGTTTCTATCAGATGGCTAAAATTGCGGTTACTCCAACCATTGTCATTGCAGAGTTCTTTCTTTTCAAGAAGAAAGTATCCTTTCACAAAGTTAGTTACATGAACCATTACCTAATTATATGTATAAATAATATAGACCTTTACGAATTACATCATTCTCGAATTTGCTTGTTTTTAAGTTCAAACAATGATGCAGGTTCTGGCTCTGGCTGTCGTGTCAGTAGGCGTTGCAGTTGCAACTGTCACGGACTTGGAATTTAATTTCTTTGGGGCTTGTATTGCACTAGCATGGATTGTTCCAAGCGGTGTAAACAAAATTCTTTGGTCAAATCTCCAACAACAAACAAATTGGACTGCTCTTGCGTAGGAAATGCTTCCTTTTTCGTTTACTTTTCATATGATATCCAGTGACTCTGAGCTACAAATATGCTGAAGACCTAAGGTTTTATGCAGGTTGATGTGGAGGACGACTCCAGTGACAATTTTCTTCTTGGTACCACTGTCGCCTTTGCTAGACCCTCCAGGAGTGCTATCTTTCAAGTGGGACATCAACAATACGAGTGCTATTCTCATCTCAGCCTTACTTGGTTTCCTCTTGCAATGGTCTGGAGCTTTAGCACTTGGGTAAGAGTCTTCTAATATGAGCTCCGGACTTGTTTTTTTGAAAATTCGTTAAGAGGAACTGTAATTATTGATGCAGAGCTACATCAGCAACGTCACACGTTGTTTTAGGACAATTCAAGACTTGTGTGATCCTACTAGGAGGATATTTCCTGTTTAGCTCAGATCCAGGGTGGACGAGTATATGTGGTGCCGTTACAGCTCTTGGTGGAATGACAGTATACACATCCCTCAGCTTAAAGGAATCGAGAGAAAAGGCGAGTGATCAACTCCCAAAGCATAGTTTACCTCCTCAAAAACTCAAGAGTACTGAAGATGATGACAACTCCAGATACACACCTCCAGACCAAACTCCTGCTGTCGTCTAAGTTTACTCCTTTTTTGTTGGTACATAAGTTAGATCTATTTTTTACTGTGAAAACAGGGTTGTGGGAGAGCAATACAAGTGTCGTGCTGCTAAGCAAAGCAGCTTGTTGATCCACTTTAATTGATTATCATAATGTGTAAATTTCTGCATTGCAACACACCAGCATTATGTCTATTGTAACAGATGCTCAAGGATTAGAAAGTTTGGTTGTTTAGCATAATGAGAATTGCAAAAGTTATCCAACTTAAATGATGTAATGATTGAGAGGTAATTTCTGAAAGACTTGCTACAAGAAAGAAGAGCAATAGCCATAACCAACCAACGCGATAACTGAAAGCACTACTAATAACGAGTAACACAAGTCGTACGACTGGCAACTACAAGCCAAATGCTGCAGGGAAACATGTCCAAAGCATCAACCTATTCCGCTACGAAACTAGACAATGCTCAAGTTTTCATCATGAGCTCAAGCTTAATATGTTAAATTAACACAAATTCAAAATCTTAAATTTCATCAAGGGTTCAAAGGCTTTTCAAACAACCTAGGGAGGGATTTTTTGAGTAACACCCCTCATTCCCAGCACTTTAAGCAATGAGTTGAAGGCAATCAAACAACAAGGACAAAGCAGAATACTGAAAGATTTCATTGGACTTTTCTACTGTTTATTAAAGGTGAAAAAGGATAAGAGTTTCCATGTCTTGAAAAAAAATAACAATCCATCATCAGTACTCCAAACTAAAATAGAAGAAAAAAAAACAGAAAAATGCATGAAATACAGACATCTCATTCCCAATGGGAGAATGAAGTTCATTCATTATTTTATATCCTACTTCTGCCTCTTATAAATCTTTCCCAAGAATGATAGCAGCACTGCCTGTACTGCTTTGCTTGGATGAGCTGCAATAGAAGTGGTCAATTTTTCATAGGACGTCTTCTCGTATTCCAGAAATACTTCCTACAAAATTCAGAAGAAAAATAGATTAAAAGCTGAAGAACTAGATGATTGCAATGATTATACAGAATTTTTGATTTATCTCGGGAGGGGGGAGGGGAAGTGGAATACCTCAAGTTTGAGATCATTATAGAGTGCCTTTATTTTAGCAATACAAGCAGCGTTATCTTTTCCATAGTTCTCCTGCAAAACAAGCTCTTCTAATTAGCATCTTCAAATAGAACAAAATCATGATAGAAATTAACCGAGGGATAACAAATTTCGAGCTTACAAATAATATCTTCTTTTGCTCCTCGTTGCATAGTTCTAGAGCTTTAACTACCAACCAAGAGCACTTAAAGTCCTGAATATCAGTGCCAATCTGATAGCAAAAGAGGTCACTATAAGATTTCTAAATTTTTTTCAAGTTAAAATAGCTCTCTGATTAATATTAAAGGAGCTTTGTAACTATGAGCTTCCTTTACAGCATACCTTGCCCAGCACCTCTGGGTCAGCAAAGCAGTCCAGATAATCATCCTACAAAGTCAAGAGAGCTACTAGTCAGAATCTGTTGCATGAAAGCACAAACGTTGTGAAACTGAGTTCTGTCTATGGTTCTTGGGCATATCGGAAACCTAATAAGATGGAGTTTTCAAAAGGCATGTCCAAGACCACATACATCACACTGTTGGCCATGTACAAAATTCTTTTCACAGTTTGACCACATGTGACTTTTGTCTCTACGATGTTTCTCATACTACTTAAAAAAGACCACATTCTTTTATGATTTGAAAGTAGGCTAATTTAGGGAATTATCTTCTTTGCTTTTGATGTGCTCTTTCCATTTCTCTATGAGATGCAAGGTCGGATTACAGCTGTTTAACTTCAAAAGCATAATTTTGGTTGAGAAAAAGAAGATAGTTTCCCTTTTGTTTCATGGTGAATGTCCACTTTTTCCTCATTCTCAATTTTGAATTGAAACGATTCTTCGAATATAAATGTGTAACTATATACACAATGGAAGCTATTAAGGAGTGGTTATAATTCTCACCTGAACTTGAAAGTAGATTCCCATGTCAATAAGAATTTTCTTGACATCAACATGCTTGTCAAGATTCTCTCCTACCATAAGAAGTGCACATGCCACCTGGAGATCTTAACCGTGAGTACTCAGGATGTAGCTTATATGCAAATTAAACTTTGAAGCACATACTATAATTCTGAAGAGGCAACTTTACTAAAAGGACCAGAATAGTTAAATACAAAACAAGCAGCATCTGATTTGCAACAATGGAATAGTGTTGCTTAAGTTTAACTCAGGTCAACATCAAAATAAGAGGCTCCGCTATGCCTTCCCAGCAGTTGCATATAGTTAATATAATTCGAAGAAGATTCTGAACTTTGAAATGTTTTTAAGAGAAAATCAACCTCAGATCAACAAGGATAATGGTTTCCCATTTTCAAAATAAAAGGAAGCGGGAAGCAAGTGTGAAGAAACATAATGGACATGCAATGATTCTCAAAATAGTACAATAAGCTGTTAACTCAATTGAAAGGAAGTTTTGTACTCACTGGGAGGTAAAATGAATAATAGGCAGTTTTATACTGGACAATCCGGCGATGACTGCATGTAACACATCATTATAAAGTTAAACCATGCAAGAAATATTGTGCAAGCAGAAAAATTACACACTAGTCTTGAGAAAGTCCCCTTACATAGACAATGAGTACTTTGATAAATCTTTCTCTCCTACAAGTGTTGTGATCAAATCTATCATTTGTCCAGAGGCAGTCTGGAACTCTACCTGTCAGATTATTTCCACAAAGCAAAAGAGAAAACTTCAGCATTATATATATTAGGTTTAATTCGAAGGCCTTTTTCTTTGAAAAAATCCTACCTCGTTAAACAAATCTAGAAGATCAACATAATAAGACTCTGGCCTGAAGTACTTCTTCAGAATTCTGGTGATGTGGTTGCGAAGAAGAATGCCATCATTAATAGCAATCATCCCAACCTATAAGAAGTATTGAAACAAAAAATGACTCAGTAAAAGAGAATGACCAGTAGGTATTGCACATGAAAGCACAAAGAGGAACAAACAGTAACCCCTGTGTAGGCCCACACCTTTTCTAAGTTGTACCAGCATGGTTGACCTCGACGTGTATGAGATCCATCCATTATATCATCAAGAACAAGGAAGTATGCTTGAAGCTGCAACACACATTGCTCTAGTTACACACTTGAAAAGAAGAAAATCGAAACTAAAGCTAAATGTATTGGGGTCACTAAGGAATTCAGCTTAAGCCCCAGATTTTGAAAAGAAGTGATTATTTTGCATACCCATTCAATGCACCAGCCAAGAGCAGATGCTTTAAAGATTTCATCAGCGGTTAATTCTTTTCCATCTTTCAACAAACTAAGGCTGTCAATAACAGATAGTCCTCGGTTCAGCTTCCCTGCACAGAGAATACATCATTATAAAGTTGCTGGAAGATATTCTCGAGTAATCAAAGATTGTAAAAGTATTACACAATTTTAGAATAGTTAATAAGTAGAAATCATTTCCTACCTCCAGGTACATTGTAGTCCAGCATCTGAAGCAAATCATAAAAAACATCAGTTAAATATAGACTGTTCGAAAATTTGAGAAACTCCGAAAGATGAAAGTGAAAAGAAGCTGAGAGTCGAGGGTATCCACAAAATTCAAGAACTATAAGGATGACACAAATTACCACATCAACAGTACTAAACTAACAAAAAGTTATATACACAAGAAAAACCAACTAGTTTACATCATAAGGTACAGCAGAAGATAATCCATGTTGAACTCATAGACATGTCTTTATGTATTCATTCTCTGTTCATTATATCATACAAAAGAGAGTTTCTTTTTCACCCAAATTCCATTTGTTGGAAGATATGAATGAAAGCAGATATAAACTTTTCAATCATTATTTTGACTCATGTCAATCAACTCCACCACAATTTTTTTTTTGTTCTTCCTAACAAGTGTTACAAGCAGATCACTAGTAAGGTCTAACTTTTAAAGTATCAAAGACAATAATGAATATTAAGCAATCAACAATACACAAAAAAATCACTTTTATCAATAAACCAATATGCAAACTACTATTTCCTTCATTTCAATTCATCCATTTACTTTCCCTTTTTAGTTGTTTCCAAAAGAATACATCTTCCCTTCATTTCAACTCTTTAACTTCAACTTAACATATAAAGCAACATGTTTAAGACCATAATATTAACAAACATTTTATTAAAATTCAACCTATTTTCAACTTGAAACCACATGATTTAAAATCCATTCTACTTTTTTTATACGACCATGGTGTCTAAACCAGATTTCACGCACCTCGACTAAATTCACGAGATACTTGTCACCTCCTACCCACAACAGGTACCAAATAACCCTATCCGAATTAAATTATACACAGACCTTAGCACTACCACTAGCCACACCCTTAAACGCAATCTTTTTACTTTTTAAAACTCTGTGTTAAAGTGGAAATGATATCTACAACAACAAACCCATTAAAACTAGACTATACGGAGACCTTACCTCGTTTTTAAAGGAGATGATAGCAAAAAGATAAAGAACGATACAAACAAGAATATCAAAAAAAGGCAAAAAAAAACTTAGTAAATGGTTAAATTAAAACAAGATTCATCAATAGAAACTTAACACATGCAATGCAACAAGTGGATCTACACATTCAGAATATATAAACAAAAAAAAAAAGAGCAAAAAACCTTGTCGACCCATTTACGAGAATCATCTGTAAATTCAAAAGCTGTGTCTTCTAACAGATCAGATTTAAGAACAGAGTACACATCCAAAAATTTCTTCTTCAGATCAGCCATTTTTGACAGAGAAAAAAAAAGTTTATGTATATATAAACAGAGAAGGAAGAGATCTGAGGTTCGTTAAGCACTAAGGAAGTTGTTATTTATATGGGGAAAAAAAAACAAGCGCAGTATTTTTATGAATTATTATTAAGTCATAAAACAACAGCAGGCGCCAGCCACCACTCACTCTCACTCACTAACTCACATGGTCTTTTTTTTATTAAAAAAAAAAAATTATTTATTTATTAAAAATTTATTTATTTTTCCTCTTTTGTTATAATAAAATAAACTTCGTTGTTAAGCTAGCGTTTTTGACATAGATAATGGAAAGTAGATTTTTGGAGAGTTTTTCTAATTGTGAAATTTGATCAATTTTTTTTTAAAAAAGAATAGACTTGAGGCTAGTTTCGAGACTTACATTAACAAAATCAGGAAAATTGAATTTTGGAATG